ACAATTTCCTGTATTCTTATCCAACTCATTCTATTCTGATCGATTAATTTTTTTTACTGATATAATTAATATAGGTTGTAAAACGACTTACAGCAAGAGCATTATTTGTGCCATTCATAATGCAATTGTTATCGATGAAGAAATTAAAAGAGAATTATTTCATGAAATTGATCTTAATGAATTAATAACAGAATATAACTTGTTAAATAAACTTAATCGATTTCATAATGATAAAACGTTGATTAATATCATGCCATTTACCGATTATTGTGAAAATGTAAAATGTAAACGAACAAAATTAGGTATTAAATTTTCGACAACTGCTCATATAATTTTCTTAGCATCAGTAAAACCTTGTTCAATATTCAATGGTATTTGTCCAAATTGTAAATGCATTTATGGACCAACAACAATTGTTGATCCACAATCGAATCAAAGAATTATTACAATTAGTTCAATTCAAAACAATAATTATATTTATTTTTCTGGCGATCTGGTATACAGCAAAGAATTTTTATCTATGTTCAGTAATAATCTTATTCATGCGCATACAACTTTCCAAGGTTTTACTGAATCATATTTAAACATGTTGATCGACGTTCATGGTCATCATAAACCTATTGTTTCGTCAAATACATTAGCTAAACGGATGGAGGTTGCTTGGATATATTTCGAACTCAGTCGTTTTATATTTCTTACAAGTCGTGAAAAATCAATTGTTCTTCCTAAGTCTCTACAACCTGAATCAAGATACATTTTCATAGAGCAAAATTTACCATTTTTCCATCATCTCTTTAATACTTTTTGGTCACGACATCGTGTATTTCCTCATATTAAATGTAAACAATCTTCATGTTCAGCAGTTATGCTGATTGACGGTCACCAAAAAAGTAATAGAAAAATTTGTCGACATGAAAATCTTACTAATACTAATCATCTGGAACTCGGACCAGTGAACCAGGGATGTCCATATCCACCCCACCGTTCGAAATCAAATGAAAAAGGAAAAAGTTCGTGTATTAATTATGATATCTTTTTATCTTAATAATAAATCATAATTTCTATATTTGCAGATCAAAATTCGTATTATTGTAAGCATCATATTAAATATATGAATACTTCTATTAACCAACAAAGAATTACTCAATCAAATGAATATCAACAAGCTGTATTGATTGATGAAGAAATTATACGTACTATGGATAATGATGATCTGTGCAATGTTTATCGAAATGAACTTAAAAATGATAAAAAGTCTAGATCGTTCGGCGTTTTAGTAACTTTTTTGTCATGTGGAGTTGTTATTGCATTTACTGAATCCATACGAAGTGAAGGTTGTCGACGGATAACGGTAAAGCTTTTTTTTCTCATTATTTTAATATTACTTACATGAATGTACTTCAAAAAAAAATAACTTCATTTTTTATTAAAAATAGTATGAATACAATAATACCAATACTCATCGATACGAATACTATGTACAACATTTGATATTGATATTGGTAGTATTGGTATTGTTCCATCTCTACAAAAATAGTTTACAGGAGTTTTAATACATATTAGATGAACAAAAGATCATTTGACTAAGTATCAAAAATTAGAGGAAAACAATATTTGAATGTCCATCGAGATATTTTATCACGTACACTATGATTTTAGATGTCTCTACACCATATTATCATGTTCAGATTTTACAAATGATCATCAATCAAGAAACTAACGGGTGGATCGAAAGTTTTCGCACAAAATGTTTGCTCATATCTGATCCACTTGAAAATATTTCAGACGAGTCGAAAACTATGGATTAGAACCAGAATTTTGTGCTCTTTCTGAATATGAGCTTGGAAATTTTGTATCTATTTTTGTTCAAGAGCAGTGAAGAAATCTTTGAAAGGCCTTAAAAATTAATTTGGACGACGTATAAACAGCTTTTTCTAGCCCATATATGTCCCTTTGGGAAGATGCTAAAAGTTATCGGACACGGTATTTTGTTAGAGCGGACACTTATTTACAAAATTGGATATTGAATTAAGTTGTAGCTTTAACACAAGTGAAGTTATATGTATTTTGTCAGAAGCTCCTTTTTGTGAAAAACGTCTTTTTGTCAAAAAGTCGATTTCTCATAAATTAGGGTATAGAAAAAACAAAAATTGAGAAGTCTTGCCTAAAGACCAAAAAAACTCAAATAGTACATTTTGTACTGCAGATTTCGCTCTACCAGTTGATAGAGTAATAAAGGTTCCAACTTTTAGTTTCGAATCGCAATAGTTAAAATATAAAAAAGTGTGAAAAAATTTCCCGTCCAAACAAATTTTTCAGGCCTTTCAAAGATTTCTTCACTACTCTCGAACAAAAACTGACAAAAAATTTCCAAGCTCATATTCAGAAATAGCACAAAATTCTGGTTCTAGTCCATAGTTTTCGACTCGTCTGAAATATTTTCGAGTGGGCCAAAAATGAGCAAACATTTTGTGCGAAAACTTTCGATCCACCCGTTAGTTGAGTTTAGAAAACGTACTTAACTTATACTTATATAAAAAGAAGTCTATCTTAGAAGAATAATATCATAAAATATATTTCTTGTTGCAGACAATATTTTATGAAATAAATGACCTCAGATATAGCTAAAAAAAATAAAAATAATTTAATAGTAATAAATACTTTTTTCCAAAGTATGCTCTGTAGGTTTGTACAGTGTGGATGTATTAAAAGGTTGAAACATCTTACGTTAAATTATACAACTGTTAATTTACAAATATTGACTAACTTTATTACTTGTTGAAATACACTTTTATAAATAAGAAATCTATCTGCACATGTAAAATTTAATTTTATGTAACATATTTTGTGATGCAAAGAAGAGTATATATTCAAGATAATGTCAGGATTGAAAAATTCTTCAAAATTACATAAATGAACCAATACGTAAATTTTGTTGGTAAATTGAATAATGAATGTTGATAAAGAATTATGAAATTGCAATTTAAAAAAATGATTAAACATAAATTCCAATAGTAATGTATGCTGATTTTATCTGTTTATTGATAAACATCATATAAGTAGAAGCAACAATAATAGAAGATGTACGGTAATCCTCTGTATCATGCATTTGATGTTATTGTGGAAGGATAAATATTAATATATAACAACAATGTGAATGCCAATTTGATTAAAATAGAATTTCATCATTGTATTTTTTTTTCGGTTCTTCCTTATTTGAAATATCAAATAACATAAGAAGATATTTTTAGAAAATTTGTTACATGATGACAACTTGATAACATAATAATGATGTTCTGTTTATATATGATTAATTGAAATTAACATGTTTTCTATCAACTATTTTTGCTAGAGAGAAACTCAATATCTAATCTGATATCATATTTG